AATATTTTAGCAACAAAAATGTAAGTGATATGGTGGTTAAAGTGTTGAAGGAGTAAAATGGGAGGGGTTTGAATCCCCTTGGTGTTTTTTTCAATAGTGAAATTTATCTTAGATAATAAATGTTAGCTTGCAGACATTTTAAAGACGTTATAAATACTACACGCCGAAAATATAATCACAAACACATCCTTAGCGAGATGGATAAGGCGTTGTGGTTGTTGACAGAAGGGGAGGGGTTCGAATCCCTCTATTCGCAATAGGGGAGGCTTTTCAAAAAATTTCATGTACTTTTTGGGTTTTGTATCGCGATATTATCGATAATATTACCATATATTGCCCAAATTATTCATAAAAATATTGAAATTATCGTCCCCGATATTATTGTGATATTATTGATAAAAATATCGATATATTGACAATAACACCATTACTAATTGTGAAAATATCGGCCCTCCAAAAATCTGAGATTATCGGAATAATATCGGCATTTAATACCTCGGATGAGATAGCCAAAATCTGGCTCCAGCAAACACACCTTAGAATTTGTAAAATAAAAACAAAATATTCTTAAAGGAAAAGGAAAAATAAAAATAAAGGGAAGAGAGAGAGAGACAAGAGTTTCCTGCGTGCGGCCGACGCCAAGGCACGTGGCGACAAAGGGTTCCGTCCCGACTCTTTTGCCAAACCTCCATACCGAAAGTACGAATTTATCCTTATCACATCCTTGAAACACCGAACCTGCCATTCAAGACGACATTGTTTTGTCCGGTAGTGGAAGGCGCGTGACGACATGTTTTTTGTCGGAGGCTGAGGAGGACTATTGGGAGGGCCCTTTTCATTAACTAAATTGGAAAAACGAAACTTAATTCTAACGTGGGCTTTGAGCTTTGTCGCATTATCTGGAGCGTGTTCTATCCTAATCGTGGGCTACGTACACGTGGCGAATGCAAATCTCTCACGTTTTCTAGTGGGTCCATTCTTAGGGCCTTATTCCTAAAAACAAGTTGATACGATGAACTCGGTGGTGGGACCCCTTAAAGCCCCCGTGATGGTCACCAATCAATCCGTGTATGACACGTGGTCCTCATGGTTGGCTTTTAGGAGATGATTGATTAGATATTCCTTGTGACATCTGATGTGGGACACTTTGGTGCATCTCCACCGTTGGTTTCTTTTGCTTTGTTTTTTAATCGTATGGTTATGTTATGGACCCATTGGGGGTGTAGGAGAACAAATTCAACAGCTAAAAGATAGACAAGTGACGGGTACACTGTTAAAAGAACATTGATTTTTTCTTCGATCATGAATCACTATGCGGCTGTTTTTATTTTATTTTATAGTTTCTTACGATTCTTTGCATATTAATTTTATATGAAAATGGAAAAATATTTTAACATTATGTTTAAAGTTAAAACATATGATATTTTTTTTATATACATGTAAGCGATAGTTTAAATCAGTCTAATGCATTGAAAGAAAAATTCAAACTTAAGCTTAAAGTGTTGAACTTACTGCCCTACAATTGACATAACCTAAATTTACCATATGAATTCATCTAATAGGATTATATTGTATTGTATTGATATGCACGAACTCAATCACGCCTATCAAATGATCTTGATGGATATTATGATTTTTCATAAATGAAAGGACTTTATTTGTTTAGATTCAATCCCTTGGCACCATGCAAGGATTGTACATAATTTAGTGAAAAATTGGAAAATAAAATTTGGGCATTAAATAAGTGAATTATTTATTCAAATATTAGTTTGAATGGACAATGTAATTGGACAAAAAACATTGTCCCGTCCAAATAATAAAGACATAAAAGACTACGTCAAAGGACAATTATTTTCATCACAAAAACCAAATTTGTTGGTGAGTGAAACAACAACGTAAACATGAATAAAAGAAAACATTAAAAGTGCCAACTGGCTGGTCGTCTGCGATGGCTAAACCTCCCTCAATAGCAAACACACAGAAGCTTCAGAGATTGTAAATTAAGAAGTGTCTAAGCAATTCACACCCAAGTCCTTCCTCAAACTCCACGATAATAAAATACTCCTTAAAAAATGATGGCCAAAGAAATTATACAACGGTCCAAAACTCCATTAATATGAATTAATTTTCAAAAAACAATGATATTATTAAGTGCTTGTATATTTGGATGAATACGTTGTCGTATTGTGAGGGGGTGGCTAAGCATGTACCACGCCCCAGCGCGCCACACACACACAAACACAAAGTGTACCAAACATAATGCCGTGTGGTTTACACACACATATATATATATATATATATATCCTTGGGATGGATCACCCATCTCCATCGATAGAGATCTTCCTTAATATCTCCCTCCCTCCCTTTCTTAATTAGCATAAATTGTTCTTAAAATCAAACATGAAATTCTTGGAGACCATAGTTGCGATGGTGTTAGGTATTGCTCTTTCCTTCAACATTGTGGGAAACATGAGCTGCAATGCTGCTGGACAGTATGACTACTTTAAGTTTGTTCAGGAGTCTCCTTTTGCATTTTGCAAAGATGGTAATGGAATTAATAGATGCAACGTTTGGCCTTTTGTGCGTTAGGTCAACAACTGGGAACAGCTTTTGTCTTCTTGTGTCCGTGTGGTCAATCCCACTAAAGAGAGGTGAATTATTTGAATTTTGTGTTGTATTGTAAATCCAAACTATTCCACATGTTGAAAACAAATTAGTAAAGTGGGTTTATTCAACTTTTTCTGGCTGGTAATTTCAATTGACTTAGATTTTCAAATCCAGAAATAGACATATAAGTGAGGTATACTAGCTTGTCATGGAAGCGAGTTAGGTTAGTTGATCACGAAAGCGAATTCCTTTCATTGCACATTATCTCTTCTCTTGTATTAAAAGAAATAACCATATTTAATTTAATTAACAAAAACTCTTCCGACACATCTTAATATAATTCATTGGATGGACTTCATAACTTTTTATTCTTATAAATCATAAATAATTTTATGCTTGGTTGGTAGTGGTACATGCATGTTATGTTCAAAATACGATAATAATATTTTCTGTGTGGCTAATTTTATGCCATCATTGATCCAAATCCCATTAACTTTGGGGGTTAGATTTCATACTAGATTGTCTGACCAAAAGACAAGAAATAAAGTTCATATAGATTTGAGTTCAATCCATTTTATCCCTTCCTTTCCTCGTAGTTGTTGGCAAAGGCTGGAACCTGGAAGGCATGTTTTGGTCAATAATAGAAACGGATAAGTTTATT